GTCGTAAGTTGTCAAACTGCAGACAAATCCCAAATTCCTGTTCTGCTCTGGAGGTATAAAATGTCTACAAATCAATTGTTTTTTGAAAAAATAAGGATGTCCAATATGTAATCCCTACAAAAGCCTGTCTCTTCTACTTTTCTTATTATAAAAATTTTATTGTAAAAATTGATTACGTAATAGAAATAATAAAAGTAGTGATAGAAATACGTGAAAAAAAGTACAACTTTTGAAACTGAGATCAAATTAGTTTTTTAAAATCTGAAGTTACGATCAGTTGCATGAGCTGAAACAGAAAATTACGGTGTGCTTTGGTAAAATTAGTAGTCTCGACAGATTTTCAACTGAAAAAAGGTACTTTTACTGCCCTTAGATTTCACTATATTTTCGCCAATATCTCTATAATGCAATAAACTTTTATAACTCTATGAGTAGAAAAGATAGGCCTTGATATGGAGCCAAATTAGAGATTAGTTTAATCTGCAAAATATTAGCTAAACAAAAACTTTTGAAGTATACTTAAAGTAAAAACGTAGTTTTTTTACGATTTGATATTTTATAACGCAGCAAAAAAATGACCTTTTAAAACAAATTTTTAAATCTCTTTAATCCTAGGTTAAGCTCTAATATTAGCCCAAATCTTAAAATCTTAAAAAAATTTGAAACCAACTTAAAAAGTGTGCAGTTTGACGTGATCCCTTAGCAAATTTGTGAAGGACAACTTTTTCATTATTGTCTCAGGCAGCACCTGATACTTTGCCATCAAAACTGCAGAGAGTCAGTCGAAGGAACTGGAAAAAAGGTAAGGATTTTGAAAAAATGGCATTACCAAGCTTGAGTCAGCCAATTATCCAAATTTTACAAATTCTTCTTTTTTAATATTACACCTTACCAATAATCTATCAATTATCTATCAACTAATTAAAAAAAAAAAGATTCTATCTACAAAATAGCAGTTTTACTTCCACCAACAAGTTGCAAGGGCATCCCTCAAAAATCCTAAAATGAAAAGTAAGTACGTTTTTGCGCTACAATCCAGTACTGCCCTTTAGAATACATTAAGACAATGTTGAAGAAACATCCATGTATAACTGAAAAGTGCCTTAATACATCGATAAATTGCTGTCGTCAAGAGTACTAAGAGCTAAACGTTAAGGTCAAGGTCAACATGCAACGGTATTACACGCCTTTCAACAAAAACTAAAAAACCATCTATTCTTAAAAAGCATTTCTTATCCTGAAAAAGATAGAATATGCCAAAGAATATGGTATAAATTTAGGTTAGAAATGATATAGGCAAATGAATATAATAAATGGTGTAAAGATAAATAAGGTTCAAGACGCATATTAAACCTAATATGTTGCAGGAACTATTGTGCCATTATTTTGAGGTTTTTGCGTCAGAAGGCTTACGAAAAGATGTCCATCGATGTACCTAAGACAGAGTTTGGTACTTGAAGAACTACTGTAGAAAACTGAAACAAATTAATG